AGAAGAAGTCGTTTGAAGTTTTTGACATATTTGACCCCTGTGACCTTGAAAACAGGTCAAGGTCATTTTCGTTCTCAAACTTTGTAGGGCTCCTACCAACGAAGCTTTCAGCCAAATATCATGACTCTAGGCCTGTCCGTTCTTCAGAAGAAGTTGTTTAAAGGTAAAGTTGACGGACGAGGACGGACGGACGGACGGACGGACGACGGACGCAGCGCCACGGCATAAGCTCACTTGGCACTTCGTGCCAGGTGAGCTAAAAACCACAGTGCAGTGGGACAGGGATCCTATGGAAGTTAAGGGGAGGTAACTGTATACAGGAAAAAACACTGAAGTGGGACAGGGATACTTAGATAAGGAAATTTTGCCTGTGTATAATTCAGCATCAGGCTGTATCTGCTATATTCTCTAAACTAATAGCATGTTAACAAAACATGCTATTCTGAGTAAACTACCCACAGACACTTCTTGGGAAGTTATGAAAAGTTTAAATTGTTTCTCTAGAAGGGTGTTAATTGTCCTTAAGTTTTTTGCTGGTCTTGATTTTTGCATCTGGGAAGATGACACAAACATGTTCAGAACAGGTACATCAATCCCATAAAAATATTCAATATCAAAAATATTGTAAGTGGATAACTACCTAAGGTACATCATGCCTACCAACTCAAGTTTCATAATTATCAGTTAACTCATTCACCCCTGAAATTTCATAATGAACTATTTCAGCCTTTGAATTGGAAGGGTTCAAATGTGTCATCAGGGGTGAATGAGTTAAGAAGGAAAGTAGCGTTATGTCAGAAAAAAATCTATAAATGGTTATTAGAAAGGAATAATTATAATTCCCAATAAACTTGTTGAAATCTGAGTACTATTCATGTCTACCGAGTTTTATAAAAAATCAATGGAGAAGGTCAATATTAACAGGAGTGTGTTTGACAACACCCACTCACAGCTGGTTGGATGGTCAAGAATATTCCAGTATACAAATTTTAAAATGTACATCCCATCCCCCCCTTACTGTATTGCAAGAGTATACTATATATACCAGGACGTTTATGCTGCAGTTTATTTTTCACCTCTTTTGTCCTCCATAATGAGGGTGAATTCATCACTTCAGCGAATATTAGTAAACAACATAATATGCATAGGAACTAAACGTGAAAGGCAAAATTAAAACTAGGTGTATATTGATTTTACCGCCGAAGGGTAAATGTGTGAATATGGATTTCACTGCCAAAGGGAGAAAGCGTGAATATCGATTTGACCGTCGAAGGGTGAAAGTATGAATATGGATTTTACCACCCAAGGGTGAAAGTATGTCTGGGAGAAAATGTCCTCGGTAAACAGTGGTTCCATGGATGGAGGTATCTCTCCCCCCTTCCCACAAGGTCTTGTTTACTTTGTGTATGTACCTCATGTTCGATATGGAAGGACTTGATGACGATTGGCTCATCCTCTGGACAGCTGTATTTTTGGAGATACGGATGGGCCAAAGCTTCTTCAGCGGTCAGTCGCTGACCAGGAGAGAAAACCAATAGTTTCTCCAGCAGATCAACAGCTGCACAAAAGCAAAAAGCCTCATTTAAGTTAAATACACCAACAATACTATACTAAGATAGAGTATACATGATGATTACAATGTACAATTGGAGGAGGAATTAATGTAAGCTCTAGATCTAAGCTTGTTTTCCCAGCCAGCCCCTTGAATTCATATGTTTGTATTAAACATTTGTTTAATTATTGAATAAAATACTGTTTAAACTAATATTATACAATTATTGCCCTTGTTTGGGGAAGATATGAATATATTTTTTACCTGAATAATGCAATGTTCCCCCAATGGTATGACACACAGAACAATTCCAACAAAAGTCTCTGCATTACTTTTCTCACAGCAGCTTACAGTCTATCAATGGGTATGATCAGTGAACTTAATTAATTTCAGAATGAAATGGAGTTTCCAGTTTCCAAAAATGTTTATTAATGCACAAATTTTCTGTTGTGATATCGTCACCAAACTGCAAATCAAAACATCATGGCCTGTATGGAGATTGGTCACATTAACAAGCACACAATATAAACAGAGTCACTGCCATCACTATGGTTATAAGGAAGTTTTATTTTTCCCACAACCCGATAGGTTTCCTCACTCATCACCCATTGGATAAACCCGCTAGGAGTTGGTAAACATTTCTGGTCACCGACTAGTGGGTCGTACCACCCTTGACATTATTTCATTGGTCGATCTTCTGATTATGATGTCAACTAACAATGCTATGCGAAGTCGTCTTCCATTGTGACACCATATACTAAGTATAGCTCATGGGAAATGTTTCTCCTATCAGAAACAGGAACAACAGGCCCATGGGCCTTAACGCTCACCTGAGTCCTACAGTATTTATTTTTGTTGTTGAAATATGTACCAATTTGAGTAAAAAATAGTTAAGTATAAGGTTAACTGAACTTTGTCAGGACCATGATGAGCTGATCATGCCTAGACCGATTTTCAATTAGATCGGCCTATTAGAACTTGTTTTTAAGTTTGAAATAGGTATTTACAAAATAGCTGCCATGGCAGCCAAATTGTATTTCTGATCGACCCGAAAAATAATAACACTTTGTCAGGACCATGATTCGATCATTCCTACCAGGTTTCAGTTCAATCGGCCCAGTAGAACTTGACTTTAAGTTTGAAATAGTTTTTCAAAATGGCAGCCTTGGCGTCCATATTGGATTCCTGATCGACCCGAAAAATAACAACCCTTTGTCAGGATTATGAGTCGATCATTCCTACCAGGTTTCAGTTCAATCGGCCCAGTAGAATTTGACTAAGTTTGAAATAGTTTTTCAAAATGGGGGCCATGGCGGCCATATTGGATTTCTGATCGACCTGAAAAATAACAACACATAGTCAGGGAGATGTCAGTAACCTTCCCATGAAATATTAATGAAATCCCTTTGCCAGTATTTCAGCTTAAGTTGAAAATGTAAAATATTAACGGACGACGGATGGACGACGGATAGCAATAGGTCACTTGAGCTAAAGCTCAGGTGATCTAAAAATCTTATCGTAAATCTCACCATCAGAACTGAAATCTTTCAACTTTGACCTAAGAGAGTGTTTTGGTGCCTTAGACCTCTGTCGGAGCACCGATCCTGGAAGGACTTGCGTAAGTACATTCCATTCATTGTCATTGAGAGAGAGAGCATCAATGATCTGCCCCATCTGATCCATTTCATTGGCCCCGGGGAACAGTGGCTTGCATGTCAACATCTCTGCAAAGATACATCCGACCCCCCATATATCAATGGCCTTGGTGTAGTCTCTGGGAGAAACGATGAGCTCTGGGGAACGGTACCAACATGTTCCAACTCCATCTGTCAGGAAACCCTGAAACATTCGTTCAAGGAGATGCATAATGAAAATCAAACTGAACAAATGTTTCAAACGACAAAAACTTGAAACTCACTGTAATAACCCTTTGAGGGCAAATTTATCATGGCAACAGTTATAAGTACATTTTACACAGCCTACCATACACAATTGTATAGTTATCATTTGTAGAGGGTGCAATTAACACTGGGCAAATATGGATTTTACCAGTGAAGGGCCAAAGTTTCCATGAGTCTGTTCGTTTATTTGTACAAACTGGTTTGTCTGGCTTTTTAAATGTAATATTTCAATCAACGGACAGTGGTAAAATCTGACAGACCTGCAAATGTTAATGCAGGCCTTGAGAATCTCTGCCAAGGCTTGCCAGAAAACCACATTTAATCACACAAGGTCTGTCCTTATTTCATAAATGAAGTGAATGAACAACTCTGGTCTGATTGGTCCATATTTTTGGAACGCGATAAACGAAAGCAGCCAAGGTAGACAACATATACCATGCACTGCTGGGAGTAAGGTTTCATCATACCTTGTGAGAATACTCTGTATCCACAACCCTGGCTAGTCCAAAGTCAGCTATCTTCAGCACCATATCATCTAGGTTAATGAGCAGATTGGCTGGCTTGAGATCTCGATGAACCACATTTGCCGAATGTATGTATTTGAGGCCTCGCAACAGCTGATACAGAAACAGACGAGTGTGTTCCTCGGTAAGCTGACCCTGCTGAACAAGCTGATAGAGATCAATATCAAGTAACTCCTGAATGATGTAAATATTCCTCATTTCATTTACGTTGATATTGCCATGGCGTCCCAATGCAAAACCATTAGGACCCAATACTTCATACACTGTGACTATATTTTCATGCTGTAGACGGCGCATTATCCTTATCTCTCGTAATACATATCTACAGCTTTTCTTGTCGATGAAACAGAGCTTCTTGATGGCAACAGATTTATCACAGTCACTGTCTATAGCAGAATAGATGATCCCATTTCCACCACAGCCAATCCTCTGGAGATCAGTAAAGCGTGGATCTACGCAGAACTCCACATCCTCCAAGGTCTGCTGGGAAGGATATTTGTCCGCCATACCTATAGCTACCTATTAAAAATAAATTTATCACAATTAAATGATTTAAGAAGAAATGTGTAAATATAGTCATGATCAGGATATAACCTATTCTATTATAGTAAACTCACCTTGTGGAGCTCATCCTCCCTCGTAAACTGTATAATGAATGATGAGTTGGGGAACAGCTATGACATTTTTTTTATTTGTTTCTGTCAGACAGTTGTTTAAAATAAAGTACCAGGTAAACCATCATATTCCATGATCATGTGTTATACTATTCATCCTTAATTCACTCATGAATACATCAATATATAATATATAAAACAAGAGGCCCAGTGGGCCTGTATTGCTCACCTGAATATGTTTAAAATAATTGGTATGAAGTAAAGATATAGTACTCCATGGTAGGTGCTGTTAGTACATATGAAATTTCAGAAAGATCCATCCAGTACTAGAGATATAGCGAGAACAAACTTCAAACAGAGTCCCACCCCTATGCCCCTAGGGGGGTCATACCCACCAATTATACAAAATTGAGACCCCTTGGTCCAAGGATGCTCCAGACTAAATATGGATAAAATCCCTTAATCCCGATGGTCGAAGAAGGATTTTAAAGGTTTTACCTCTATTACTCCTATTTGGCCCCGCCCTTCTGCCCCCTGGGAGACCACACCCACTACTTATACAAAATTGAGTCCCCTTGGCCCAAGGATGCTCCAGACTAAATTAGGATAAAATCTCTTAATCCCTATGGTAGAAGAAGGATTTAAAAGGTTTTACCTCTATTTCCCCTATTAGGCCCGGCCCCGCCTCACTGCCTCCTGGGGGGTTAGACACACCGTTTATACAAAATTGGTTCCCCTTTACCCAAGGATGCTTCAGACCAAATACGGAAGAAATCCTTTCATTCCTACAGAAGAAGAAGGATTTTAAAGAATAATTTGCTATGTTTCCCCTATTGGGCCCCTTCCTTCTCCCCCCAGAGGGGGGGGCCACACTTGCTGTGTATATGAAATTGAGTCCCTTTTGTCCAAGGATGCTCCAGACTAAATTAGGATAAAATCCCTTAATCCATATGGTAGAAGAAGGATTATAAAGTTAAGGTTTTACTTCTATTTCCCCTATTGGGCCCGCCCCTCAGGTCCCAGGGGGGCCACACCCACCGTTTATACAAAATTGGTTTCCCTTTACCAAAGGATGCTTCATACCAAATTTGGACAAAATCCTGTCATTCGTACAGAAGAAGAAGGATTTTAAAGAATTTGATATATTTCCTCCATTGGGCCCCGCCCCTCAGCCCCCATGGGGGCCACACCCACCATTTATACAAATTGAGTCCCCTTGGCCCAAGGATGCTCCAGACTAAATTAGGATAAAATCCCTTAATCCCTATGGTAGAAGAAGGATTTTAAAGGTTTTACCTCTATTTCCCCTATTGGGCCCCGCCTCTCTGCCTCCAGGGGGGCTAGACACACCGTTTATACAAAATTGAGTCCCCTTCACCCAAGGATGCTTCATACCAAATTTGGACAAAATCCTGTCATTCGTACAGAAGAAGAAGGTATTTGAAGAATTTGCCATGTTTCCCCTATTGGGCCCCTCCCTTCTGCCCCAAGGGTGGCCACACTCGCTGTTTATACGATATTGAGTCCCTTTTGTCCAAGGATGCTCCAGACTAAATTAGGATAAAATCCCTTAATCCATACGGTAGAAAAAGGATTATAAATGTTTTACTTCTATTTCCCCTAATGGGCCATGCCCCTCACGACAGGTCCCTGGGGAGCCACACCCACCGTTTATACAAAATTGGTTCTCCTTTACCCAAGGATGCACCACATCAAATATGGACCAAATCCTTTCATTCCTACAGAAGAAGGATTTTAAAGAAAAATTTGCTATAGTTCCGCTATTGGGCCCCGCCCCTCAGGCCCCAGGAGGGCCACACCCACCGTTTATACAAAATTGGTTTCCCTTCACCCAAGGATGCTCCAAACCAAATATGGAACAAATCCTTGCATTCCTACAGAAGAAATAGGATTTTAAAGAATTTGCTATATTTCCCCTATAGGGCCCTGCCCCTCAGCCCCCAGAGGGGCCACACCCACCATTTATACAAAATTGAGTCCCCTTGGCCCAACGATGCTCCAGACAATATTTGGATAAAATCCCTTAATCCCTATGGTAGAAGATGGATTATCAAGGTTTTACCTCTATTTCCCCTATTGGGCCCTGCCCCTCTGCCCCCAGGGGGGCCACACCCACCGTTTATACAGAATTGTGTCCCCTTGGCCTAAGGATACTCCAGACCAAATTTTGTCAAAATCTACTTGGCCGTTCAGGACGAGTAGCGTTTTACATGTAAAGGAAAAGTTGACGGACGAACGACCGACGAACGACGAGCGGACGACGCGGTATGACATAAAGGTTCTACAAATAATTATTAATTAATTAAAAACAAAACAATACAGAATCACAGTAGAGTGCATGTCACTACATGCTATTTACTATTGTGCCTAATTCAGATACATAATTATTTGTAGAATTTTGACTTAGGTGTATGTCCAGTTAGACAAAAAAAATAACATACATTTTTTTGAGAGGGAGACAAAATTAGGGAGGAGCTTAATTGCAGGCACCCACTCTGTTCCCAGGACATTTGCCAAAGTGGGGAGGGGGCTTATTTGCGAGAGGGTGCTTATTTACAGTCAAATATGGTAAAACAAATGTCTAGTCATGATCAAGACAAAACTAGTTCTAATGGTTACATCATCAACAGTGTACTTTGCATCCTTCAATATGTTATGTAGAAGATAGTACAAAGGCGCACTGTCAAGGAGAACGTCAAGATAAAAACATTTATTTATTTTAAATAAAAAGTTCAGGGTCATTACAGCATGTGTGTTTGGAGTCCTGACTTGAATGTTTTGAGGTCAGGGCTGAGTGCAATGGTTGTATGTGGGCAACATAGTCCAGTGGCGAATGGAACGTGGAAACAAGGATTGAGATTGGTAGTTTGATGCTTTGATGCTGATGGAATTATATTACATATTTGTAAATCATGATTAATGAGGAAAGACTACTGAGGGTGATTTCTGCTTTGTTTGTGATGTTGGTGATATGTGAATTCCATGAGAAGTCAGATGTGATGTTTAGGCCTAAATACTTTGCTGAGTTTGTGTATTTTAATTCTTTTCCGTGTAGTAAGTACATGTATTTGTGAATTACAGGGTTTCTTTTGCATGAGACAGTTATAAGTTCGCATTTAGCAGTGTAAAAGTCCATCAACCACTTCTTTTCCCAGTTTTCTAGAAGATGTAGGTCTTTTTGTAGAGTTTGTGAGTCTGATACAGAGTAGATGGCGATATAAATGATGGTGTCATCAGCAAAAAGGCAAACCAGCTGACTTCTAATTGAATTTGGTAAGTCATTAATAAACATAAAAAACAGACAGGGACCCAGAACCGAACCTTGGGGCACACCTGACAGAACTGGACAGATATTCTATTCGTTTTTTCTACGAGAACTTTTTGGCTACGATTATCTAGGAATTGTTTTATCCAGTTAATAATTTGCAGGTTAATGCCGAAACGAGAAAGTTTGAAAATAAGTCTTTGGTGGTCAACTTTATCAAAGGCTTTTGAAAAATCCATAACAGCTTTATCAGTTTGTTGCCCATCAGCTGCTAGGTTATTGTAGATGTCAGACGTGACAAGTTGGGATTCACAACTGTGTTTGGAGCGAACGCCGTGCTAGAGAGGGGTGAGAAGGTTATGACTTTGTAGATGTGACATGATAGATACGAGGATGTGTTCAAAGACTTTGCTAAGTATACATGTAAGAGATATGGGGCGACAGATTTGTGGGTTGTTTTTGGCACCTTTTTTAAAGCAAGGAATTATATGTACTGTTTTCCAGTCTGCAGGGTCATGGCCTGTTTGAAGTGAGTTGTTGAAAATGTCTGCAATGATGGGCTTTAGGTTGGGTATAGGTAATGCCATTAACTTTAAGAGGTGAAATTCCAATGTTTTCTGTTTTCCTGCTTTTTGTAAAAAAAAAAAAAGAAAAAAAAGTTTGCTTGGTAGTTATTTGTTTCCTGTGTGAGTCACTATAATTTTTTCAAGATAATGCCAATATTATTTTCAAAGTTTGTTTGGGATTTCGTATTTAAGGGACTTCATGTGCTGTTTCATGTTGTGTTTAATGGTTAGTTTATATTTTTTGAGTTTTCTTATCAGCTTTTTATGTCAATTGTCATCCATGGAAGTAGCTGCGATACATAGCTTTCTGACGATGAGAGATTTTTTTTATATTGCGGGGCAGAGGAGGCTGCATGGGTATATTATTAATGTTAGGGTGCCTCGGTAGCCGTGATCGCTAACACGCACAGTCATTGTGCTACTGTGTGCTATCAAGCGTGAGCTACAGACCAGTCGCTCTCCCAAGAATTTCGGTTTGATCCCCAGCGGTGGTGGAAAAAAGAGAGTGAGTTGTTATCCCTCCGATGGCACGGTCAGGTTTTCCCCACGTGGGTTTTCCTCCACCACGAAAACACCATTTGTTCCCTTAGCGGCATCGTAATAAAAGCTCTACAGAGCTTATGTTTGTTGTTGACAATTGTACACGACGTTAAATAAAGATTATTATTATTAGTAGTAGTACTACCACGGACTTAGATAACAATCTAATTCCCTGGTACTACCATGGAAGGTCTACCCTGCTTTTTGACATTTTCGAGGGGATGAATTTGAAATGGTTAATGGCCACGTGCAACAAGTTAAAGATTCTGTCATATCGTAGTCCGATTCACAAGGCAAGACCAGCCTGTACCTGCATGAATGAGAATATCTTTGTTCAAAGATGCATAGGAAATTAAATATTTCCGTTTTTTTCTTCATTTTGGGAAAACAATGCACTTTATGGCAAGGGGAACAGTCTGCTTTTACAGTAAAAAAAATCGTTTTAAAAGTTAATAATATGTTAACGCTTACGGCACCTGTAGACAAAACCATATTTCGGTCGTTACTGTAGATTTATGTTTGCGATTTAATTTGCTATCAGCTGTTTTGTCACCTGTTAGATTTCAGTCAGTTATCTTTTAATCGTAGCCTTTCAGTCAGTTAGGAAACGTTTCAAAAATGTTTAAAATACTAACACCTTGTGGTGCTTTTTCAAGACCTCTTCCAAGGTCACCTCCGTTCAGCAGGGCCTTTTGTTAGGTGCAAGGAATCGCTAAATCACATTTTTTCATAGCATTCCACCATATTGACACTAGCAAGCGCCCCATTGACAGAGATGGCGAGTGTAACCATTTACGGTGATCGGAAATCCGGAAAAAGCTTCAGTAGAAATGATCAGATCCTAAAAAGAAAGGACATGTATAATGTGAGATACCAGAGATAGCTTATAGATGATTATCGGATTTATCTTACACAACACACAAACACATTTGTTTATATTTATAAACTTAAACAATCGAAATATTGTAATTACGGGATAAAAAATATTGTAAATAAGTGTTTCCCGATAGCATAGACTTGTGAAAACTCAATCTAATTAAAATCAGATCCCTATTCCCGTTCCTCTATGATCCTAATGTATCTAAGAGTATCGTAGAGAAACAGGAATAAGGATCTGATTTAATTTTTTTAATTTCAAAAGTATTTTATTGGCAATTATACATATATAATACAAACATATAAGTTAACATTAATAATAATAATATACAACATTTGATATAGCGCCCTATCTAGCTAACATAAGCCACTCTAAAGCGCTTTACAGTACATAGATATACAAGTAATACAATTAGCATATACATTAATTAATTCAATTATGAGGAATTCACAGGAGCTGCCTTATCAGGCGCTAACTACTAGTCCTATATGCCACCTGGCTAATATATCCCTATGTGTGTATGCCTGCGTGTGTGCTGGAGATGTATTGTGTTAAAGAAGATATTAGAACAATATTGACAAAAGAATTAGACAACAGGCTATGCATATATCAGTCTTCTTCTTTTTCCGGTAGCTACATGTATGTACAATGCTTAAATATATAAAATGTTGTAATTCGTTTTACTCTCACACACATGCACACCCACACCAGCTTATGTCTAATACTCATTATTTAAGGGACAAAACTTTGCCTGAATAATAGTAATAAAAACAATACATGGATATCAATTTGGAATTTATCTAGCACGTATAAGTAACGAAACGTTTTGATGATTTAATATAAAAGTCAACATGTATAAGAATAGTTTTATTTAATTGGTCCGATGCATTACTCATATAATAAACAGTGCAGATTTAAATATCCTAATAGATTATTAAAAAGTGGTAATATGATGCCTAATATTTGAATACAGAGGACATTGAAAGAAAAATGTATTAGATCTTCCCTCTGTGCACCACATACACAGGAAGCATCATCAATCAGATGGTCTTGTAACTTATCAAAGTTAAGATATGATTTTAATTAGATTGGTGAAAACCATGGGCTACATCCACGTATCCCGGCTGAAACGGTACGTGTGGCGCAGGAATATTCCACAATACACGAACGCACTTGGACCGTTCTATAAGCAGAGCTAAAAATGCACAGTTTCGGAGAATAAAAAAACAATGTATCAAGAATAGTATGCCCTTCTTTCATCCGTCCACTGAATTGCATATAACGTATCTTAAAAACTACATGACTTGACATTGTTTTAGAAAAAAATAACAAAACCTGGTAATAGTCACCTTTTAGTCTCGTATGGACCCCTTAATCTAGCTACACAATCCAAATTTTCTGAGGACAGCCTCGGTTCAGATCTGTGCCTCTCGTTTTCTTTACAGGTTCAACCGGTTCAACCGTTTCAACCGGATACGCGTTCTATATAAAATGCTTCTGTGATAAAATGGTTCTAAAATGAACGAAAAAACAAGCATCACTTAGATGGTGATTTTTTGTTGCGTGTTCATTCAAACTAAAGTGTATAGTGTATGTAATTAACAACCCATCACACAGGCTACGTACACCCAATATCACTAAACTTTGAAAGGTACCTGAACTGACCTGAAGATGTCTTTGTCTTGTTTATGGTGAATTTGTATATATCTGATATTATTTTTATTCCTCTTTCCGAAGAATCGAGATTTATGGTAAGAAGAGATACGATTTTACAATAAGAAATGAATACAAGTATTCGTAAGTGAGATGCATCGTCGGTTAAAATTATAGAAGTGAAATGCAACACGCTAGCGCTGGGCTAAATAAAACATGTATGTTTCATGTATCCCTACCTACCCTAGATTGTTCTGTCGACCATGGAGGAATATTCTATAACTTACTTGTATCTAAGATTAACTTATTACGTCTTTGCGTATTGCAGAGTTATCTGCTGTTGTGAGCAGGTATTGATTGTTACGGCATTTGTTTGTGAGAGTAACGTTATCAATTTTTGAGAAAACGACGTAATTTGCTCACACAAACCAATGACGTAACAAACAATACCTGCTCACAAGAAAAGATAACTCTGCAATACGCGAAGACGGATTTATCCAGGCAAACTTTACAGCCACAGATTAAAATGTATTTTTTTTCCTATTCTGGGAATCTGGCCATATTCTTCACAAATTAATAGTCCTTTTAAATGTGGAAATGTACTGTAAACATTGATTTAAAGCATTAAAGTGATCCAAAATAAAAATAAAAATAAAATTATTTGCCTAGCGACCTACCCCTTTTTCAGGCATGTTTTAATACCTGAAATACACATATTATGTTTTTTGCCTTATAAATAATGTAAACTGAAATATAGGGGTCCCTTAAAAAGGACCTTGGGGAACCTCATGTTTTTAAATTATCTGTATTAGAAAGATAATTAGAAATAAAACTGTCCTGGTGTCTATCAGAGAGCTAACATGTACACCAACTGAATAGCTCACGGACTATTTTATATGATTTCGATTTAAATATAGATCAATTCAATTATGCCATACCCAATCAAAATACTCACTAAAAATAGAAATTGAAGTAGGGATGTCACAAATCACTAAATATGCGTGCATGCTCATGAATAGCGGTTGTTATTTTTCAGCAAATTGTGGAACTAATAGCAGTAATGAGCGTAAAAAAAGGAACAGTTTAAAAAATATCCGTTTAGTATTATGCAAACATTGGAATAGAGCGTATTCTATAAAAAAAAAAAAGTAAAATAAAATAGCTATGTAACAGTAACAACTATAGCTATAATTAACTATCCTCTCAAGTTGATATGTGTGTAAAGTCAATCATCTGCCTTTTTATCTGTCTAGATCATATTTGTGCAATATATACTTCAGTTATGAAAAAAGTCAACGTCTTACGTAGACTCAAATACTTATTGAATCGAGATAATCTTTTAAAGATTTATAAATCTTTTATTTTACCAGTTTTAGAATATGCTTGTGAATTGTGGGATGGTTGTACAACTTATGAAACAGAAATGTTAGAGAAAGCCCAAAGAGAAGCTATTCGTATAATTACTGGACTTCCTTCTTATGCCAGAATCGAAGACTTACATTTTGAATCTGGTCTAGAAACTCTTTCGAATCGAAGAAAACGCAGAAAACTTCAACTTTTGTATAAGATGCACCATAAATTAACTCCTGACTATTTAAATGATCTATTGCCGTCTACCGTTGCAGAAAATAACCGTTACACCCTTAGAAACAATAATGATTATAGAGTTCTTCCTTTCAGGCTTTCTCTAACAAATTCATCTTTTATACCTTCAACTCTTCGTAGTTGGAATTCATTGGACCTTTCAGTACGATCATTGACTTCTTTACATTCTTTTAAAAACTCGTTAAGTTCAAACGTACTATCTCCTCCGCCAATCTACTTAGTTATCAATACAAAAGTTTTTAAACAGGTGCATTATTACAACAAATCCAGCAATAGGTTTTGATAATTATAATTATCATTCCTTATTTTTATTTATATGTGTACGTTGTTATATATGTTTATGAAATTGCATTTCATTATTTTGTTTGATTACTTTGTTACATTGATCTTGTTCATTATAAAATTACTATACCGGGCTGCATGTCAGGAAATTTTGTATAATTTATAATTTATTCAAATGCGGATCCTTTTCAGTTTACACGATTTCTTTTCTAGGTAACACCCCCCTTTTCCCTAACCCCCCCTACTCCATACCCTTCCTTCTCCACCCTATCCTCCTCCCGTTCCCCCAAAAACATATATACATTGTATTTACCATATGTATTCAGGAGAGGACTTTCATTAAGTCGTAATAACTTGTTGTCCAATCCATTTGTATATTTGTACAATAAAATATGTTTAAACTAAAATCTGTCTAGAAAAAAAAGAAAGCGAGGACGAAAGATTTCCGACAAACACAAATCATATTTTAAATTAATGCTCAAGAAGGGATGTGTCTTGCAATATTATATCCTGAAAATTGGCAAATACAGTGTTAGTTTATCAAAAATGAAAACCCCTTTCATATATTAATATCACACTAAGTCTAGTTCTAATCAAGGTTTGGAAGGCAAGTATTGGATTTAATTTTCCCCATTCATATAGTAGATGTGTCGAACAGGTGTTAATTTTCAGAAAGACCAAATTCAAACCAATTTGAATGCGCAAAAGTGTTGGGTTTTTTTGTGGTTTTTTTAATTACTCTCATATGACGAATGATTTTAATGTTGCACCGGAACAAGTTTAACTTTCAAATAATGTCAGAACAGTCCCCCGTGAAATACCGTATGAGATGTCGACAGCACCACTTCTAGAATTATGAAGTCATGAGTCGATCAAATTGATCTAGTTCAGAAAAAACTCTTATCTTTAATTTTCTATTCAGTACTGGTAAAAATGACATTTTCAAGATCGTTTGAAGTATTTGCAGATAACAGCTATACTTGTTATACATGTAAAAGCATGGCCCTACAAGTTAATTCTTAGCAACATTATTTTTCCATTTCCCACAAGGAGTTCTTCACTATAAGTTGCCAACATTTTTCAGACATTTTTTTTCATCTTTTGGCTGCACGCTGAACCACAATGCATGTTCGAGGACTGGTGCCATTTACATTGCATATTTTACCGTAATTAAGAGGTAAGACTTAATTATCACACTGATAGCAATACTAACGTGTTTTATTAAAAATGTTTACAAACTTTAAAAGATATTTTAGAAAGAGGGACTTCATACTTGGGAGGGAGGGGGTCCGAAAGATATCGCACCGTATACTACTTTTATGTTATAATTAATCAGGTAAGCGTCTCTCTGATCCTGATTAAGGAAATTACACAGCGCCATCTTCGTGAAGGTCAACAATGGCTCGTCGGTTGCTGAGGAAATTAATTGTCGATCTCCCAGCTCAGGTATTCATTTTCACGAGTTTCTCTTCTCAAATGAATGTTCTATATTGTACTTGAATACTTGTATTATGTTCTAGCTTTATGATGAACTTCATAATTCGCTAAGGTATCCCCGTACGAATCACGATATTCCCACGTGTGTTGCAGACGATTTTTTTATGTCAAATGTCATATTTTCTTGTCTTGTTTAATTTTTGTACAGTGTTTCTTTCGTCATGTGTAATATTCTCTTATCAAATTCAATCTATGTGTCTTATTTTTCTTCCTCTAACAGAGGCAATATTATTATATGATTAACGGATGCTATTTTGTAGTGTCAGTACAAAACTTGCATGACCCATCGGCCCATCCCATGTATGTCATAGGTTGAAATAAGAGTGTGCCCCTATCGACCAGTGACACAAGACGTCATACAGTATGACGTCTCTTAATTAGCTCAGTGGTAGAGCGTCCGACTAGGAACCTGGAGATCGAGGGTTCGATCCAGGGTGGAAGCACACTATTCTCTTTCCTGTTACAAATGGTGTCCGTGGCCCTTCCTGTAATGACAGGGAGTTAGAACCTGGGTTGTGGTGTTCGAGGGCAAACACATTTAAAAAGAGGGGAGTAGTGTGGCAGGGTTCAATTGTACAGAGGATTAAGGTCGCCTTCTAGCTACGATCTAGAGGGAATTTCCCTTTAGCTCAGTGGTAGAGCGTCCGACTAGGAACCTGGAGATCGAGGGTTCAATCCCCAGTGGAAGCACACTATTCTCTTTCCTGTTACACAATATTGTATCCTAATGTGCATGCTTATATGATTGATTTTACCTCTCTGTTCTCATCTGCTATAATGTGATCAATCTGATCATGTCCGTGCTTTAGAATACGCTGCAGTTTAGATTCAATAATTCTTGTATATTTATAAAAAGAAATGACTAACTAAGCGTTCTAACAGTGACAATGTCCTGAAATCATTTGATGTTTTTTTTCTGCTTATATATTCTCGTTCATACTACATCAAAATGTTCTTTTTCATGTACTACAAGTATGTACATCTAACAAATGCCAAGAGCCAGAAGTAACCAGTGCTATTATTTCTTTTAAAACATTCAATATTTTATTTTCAAAATAGCCATGGGATCCAGCAGTTCTATCCAGGAATTTTTCATCGGAGGTAACTGATATTTATCTTTAATCAGAATATTTCATTGAAAATACCTGAATATATGTATGATAAAGTGTTTAAAAAGGGTATCACATTCAACCTATAAAGAACCTATCCCTTTTATTGCACCCCAGATCTAAGCATTCCATCCCTTCACCATAATTTTATTTCACACTATTACAAACCTTGAAATAGCATTTCTTGCAAAAAGGCCATTTACTTAACAATACCAGTTTTGACAAACTTTCATCCATCAAATAGATTAAAATACAAAATAGAAGCAACAAAACTAGTCAATTTTATAAATATTGTGACACTATACATTCTAGCCAAGGATAAACATGCATGTATGCTTAAATATCAAAAACCATGAACGTTTGTGTGGTCCTGGTGGATTTTGTCCACTTGAAATAGGACTGTTCATTATCCCTCCTTCTTTTTGCTTTTCATATGTGCAGGGTATCAGACAGATCATAAAATTCAATTGGAATGATATGCTTTTAAATCTTGCTGCAAGATAAAACAGCGAAATTGTATTCTTTTATCTTTAAAAACTGCAAATTGTTGACTATAGAAGGTAAGTCAACTTGAAACAGTAAAATAATCTTGAATAACCTTGTAAAAAAGTGCTATAATTTAAACCATTTTACTTTGTAGAGTCGCCTGGTGACAATGATTCCAGGAGATGGAATTGGACCAGAGATTTCTGAATCTGTCAAACAAATATTTAGTGCTGCTGGGGTAAGTTAAACAAAAAGTTGAATAATCTGAGGGCCTTAGGAGTGTTATATGTACACTTTATTGTTTAAATTATAAGAGAATTATAAGAACACCTCCCCCTATATTAAAGTGCTCAATCTGCTTTTTGTCTGTAAGATATTTTAACAGCCCATCAGATCACCCCATATCATCAAAATTGAGTACTACAAAGTTTAACTATTTCCTTAAAAAATGCTGATTATGTGTTTTAACGTTAGTATGTGTCCTTGAGTCAGCAATCATACTGTTGTAACATGACAGTAATAATATGGAAATTAAATCATTCACCCCTGAAATTTCATAATGAACTATTCCAACCTTTGAATTGGAAGGGCTCGAATGTGATTTCAGGGGTGGGGGCGAAGTTTCATAATGAACTTTTCCATCCTTTTAAGTGGAAGAGTTCAAATGTGGTTTCAGGGGTGAATAAGTTAATATGATACATTTGGTAAATATAATAACATAAGCTTGGTATAAAGGAAACAGGTGATATTGGGTAATATAACTATGTGATCAAACATCATCTGTTCCAGGCCCCTATTCACTGGGAGGATGTTGATGTCACACCTGTGAAAGGCCCTGATGGTAATTTCCATCTACCTCAGAAGATTTTTGAGTCCATGGGCAAAACTGAAGTTGGCCTGAAAGGTCCCCTAGCTACACCTGTGGGTAAAGGTCACCAGTCTCTCAACTTGGCCTTACGAAAGTGAGTACAGAATGATTCAATATGGAAATCAGTATAGGAGGATTAATATGGCATCAAAGTCAGTATAGAAGGATCAATGTGGCATCAAAGTCAGTATAGGAGGATTAATGTGGCATCAAAAACAGTATAGGATGATTTATGTGGCATCAAAGTCAGTAAAGGATGATTAATGTGGCATCAAAAACAGTATATGATGTTTTATGTGGCATCAAAGTCAGTAAAGGATGAAAAATGTGGCCGAAAAATCAGTATAAGAGGATAAATGTGGCATCAAAGTCAGTATAAGAGGAAAAATGTGGCATCAAAGTCAGTATAGGATTCTTTATGTGGCCACAAAGTCAGTATAGGATGACCAATATGGCATCAAAATCAGCATAGGAGGATTAATGTGGCATTAAAGTCAGTAAAGGATGATTAATGTGGCATCAGAGTCATTATAGGATGATGAATGTGGCATCAAAGTCAGTATAGGATGATTAATGTGGCATCAAAAACAGTATATGATGATTTATGTGGCATCAAAGTCAGGAAAGGATGATAAATGTGGCCGAAAAATCAGTATAAGAGGATAAATGTGGCATCAAAGTCAGTATAAGAGGAAAAATGTGGCATCAAAGTCAGTATAGGATTATTTATGTGGCCACAAAGTCAGTATAGGATGATCAATATGGCATCAAAATCAGCATAGGAGGATTAATGTGGCATTAAAGTCAGTAAAGGATGATTAATGTGGCATCAAAGTCATTATAGGATGATGAATGTGGCATCAAAGTCAGTATAGGATGATTAATGTGGCATCAAAAACAGTATAGGATGATTTATGTGGCATCCAAGTCAGTAAAGGATCATTAATGTGGCATCAAAAACAGTATATGATGTTTTATGTGGCATCAAAGTCAGTAAAGGATGAAAAATGTGGCCGAAAAATCAGTATAAGAGGATAAATGTGGCATCAAAGTCAGTATAAGAGGAAAAATGTGGCATCAAAGTCAGTATAGGATTCTTTATGTGGCCACAAAGTCAGTATAGGATGACCAATATGGCATCAAAATCAGCATAGGAGGATTAATGTGGCATCAGAGTCAGTATAGGAGGATTAATGTAATATCAAATTCAGTATAAGAAAAACAATGTGGTATAAAAGTCAGTAAAGGATGATTAATGTGGCATCAAAATAAGTATATGATGATTTATGTGGCATCAAAGTCAGTAAAGGATGATAAATGTGGCCGAAAAATCAGTATAAGAGGAAAAATGTGGCATCAAAGTCAGTATAGGATTATTTATGTGGCCACAAAGTCAGTATAGGATGATCAATATGGCATCAAAATCAGCATAGGAGGATTAATGTGGCATTAAAGTCAGTATAGGAGGATTTGTGTGGCATCAAATTCAGTGTAGGAGGATAAGTGTGGTATAAAAGTCAGTTAAGGAGGATAATCAAAATCTGAAAGTCAGTAGAGGAGGATTAATGTGGCATCAAAGTCTCAAAGTCAGCATAGGAAGATTAATGTGGCATCAAAGTCAGTATAGGAAAATCAATGTGGCATAAAAGTCAGTAAAGGAGGATTAATGTGGCATCAAAGTCAGTAAAGGGGGATTAATGTGGCATCAAAATCAGTATAGGATGATTATTGTGGTATCAAAGTCAGTATAGGAGGATCAATGTGGCATGAAAGACAGTATAGGAAGATCAATGTGGCATCAATATCAGTATAAGATGATGAATGTGGCATCAAAATCTGTGTAGGAGGATTAGTGTGGCATCAAAGTCAGTATAGGAAGATCAATTTGGCATCAAGGTCAGTATGAGAGAATTAGTGTGGCATCAAAACCAGTGTAAGAGGATTTGTATGGCATCGAAATCAGTATAGAAGGGTAAATGTGGCATCAAAGTCTAAAAGTCAGTAAAGGAGGATCAATGTGGCATCAAAGTCAGTATATGAGGCTTAATGTGGTATCAAAGTCAGTAAAGGGGGATTAATGCATCAAAATCAGCATAGGAGGATTAATGTGGCATCAGAGTCAGTATAGGAGGATTAATGTAATATCAAATTCAGTATAGGAAAATCAATGTGGCATACAAGTCAGTAAAGGATGATTAATGTGGCATCAAAGTCATTATAGGATGATGAATGTGGCATCAAAGTCAGTATAGGATGATTAATGTGGCATCCAAATCAGTGTAGGAGGATGAGTAGGGCATCCAAATCAGTATATGAAGATTAATGTGGCATCAAAGTCAGTATAGGAAGATCAATGTGGCATCAAAGTCAGTATAGGAGGATTAATGTAATATCAAAGTCAGTAAAAGGGGATTAATGTGGCATCAAAATCAGTATAGGATGATTAATGTGG